GCGGCCTGCTGGACACGCTCAATAAGGTTGACGTCTTCCGTACGTCCTGAGTAGACAACTTGGTTGGCGTATTATAGGAGCGATCTGAAGTAGGCCCCGTAGAGTATTTGGAAGTCCATTCGAGTGATACGGGAGAAGGTGCGTCGGATCATTCGTAAAATGACGAATACCTCTTGAGCCGATTTCTCATAATGCAGCGAGAAGGACAAGTTCGAGGAGACCCAGGTACCGGAATCCTTTTTGGCGTCTATCCGCGTGGTGTTTTCTGGTCCTCCCTCACCTTGCGTGACAAAGACCTTCTCTGATTCTCCTACAAATGACATGTGGATGCACTTTTCGTCATTCAGAGGAAGGTGCCGGTCCAACGACCACTGCTTTGCAGCGTATACGTCCATTTAGGGGGCACTGGAATTGAAACTCTAAGATTTCAAGTCGTCCGCAAAAAGTAGACGTTTACTTGCAAGAATATCTGGGAGGTCGTTGGCGTACGTCAGAAACAGCAGTGGTCCCAGGACGAAGCCATGAGGAACTCCACTTGAGACCAGCGCTGGAGAAGAGAAGGCAGAGCGCAGACACACAGAGATGGTCAAGGTCGCATGAATAGTTCAACAGTTTGGAATGAATATGCCATGGAGGCAGCAAATGTCAGGTGAAGTTTGTCGTATTTTCAGTTAATGGAACGAGCGGGCGAGAGGACATGCTCGAGAGGAGGAATGGAATAGTTGAGGATGTGCTACCAAACTGTGTATGATAGTGCCGAGCCATCGTTGGTCTGATGTGCTTCAATTTTTTCACAGCCCCGTAACGGACGTCACATTTAAGGTGATTGGGCTGGGGTGTGCAGTTCTTTGGGCAGAGGGATTAATTTCAGGCTGGCCAAAGAAACAAGGTGGAACAAAGCCGACGTGGGATCGCTGCACACTGTGATTCTGGTTTAACTACTACTATTTATCCGTACTACATACCAACAATTCACCTTCTCCACGTGCACTTTCCACGACCATGGCCATACGCCCGACAGCCCAAGACCAAGAAACCTCACTAGCTGTTTTAGGCTTCGGTTCAAATCGATGGGCCAAATTGTGACAACTCTGCTGCCTCTTCAGATCCGTTGTTCTTGTTCCACATTTTCTGCAGTATGAAGTCTTATATCACGTACCAGGCAGGAAGCCTCTTATTATGCACTCCCTCCTGTGGTTTTCGCCCGTTACTTCAAAATCTTAACGGTATGATTTCGTCTCATGTCATGTGTTCCTACGTAGGTTTTCTGTGCATGCGGGCTCACGCGCGACCAGATTTACATCGGCTAATTTCCACCGTTAATTTCATCCTCCCTTTTGGCGAAATTCCCAGTGTCCGGAAGTCCTACCGGTCATGCGTTTATTCTGACTGTAAACTTATGATCATGCCCAAAGGTGTGTCACCCACTAGTTGGGAATGAACATCATTATTATCAACTTATTTTTGCAAACAATTTATCTTCCTTGCAAACCAACCGCAGCCCAAACATGTTCCTCTGCATGACTCGCTTTGACACCTCGACCGGGTAAGTGACTATTCATCGGATAATAGCCAGGTAGACTCCGGCATGGATTGGACGTTATGCAGGGAACTTATCTCGCCTTCATCTCATAACTTAGCTGCCACTCTCTGCACATCCGCCGTTAGTGGGTCTTTAATGCTCCAACTGGGTTTGTTTCAATTTAAAAATGTGCACAGTGACTGTCTTGAAACATACTGACATATGAAGACACGGTGATGGCATGGAACGTCTGAGCCAGGTGACTGGTATAGCGGGTGGCTCATGTAATAGTGGGACGTGCACATTATCTGTCAATATGACCGGCGAGAAATGTGTGAAGGAGACATCTGTTTCTCTTTTGGGGTTCACCTTATGACGATACACATGTCTAATCGGATTTTGGGGTATATTGACCCATGGCCGCTCTGGACAAATAGCCATCTTGTCGATCCACTCAATTTGAGGAAAATATTAGTAGAGTGAACTTTCACCACGAGACCAAAAATGTTCAAAGATGGTCAATGCCTCAACCGATACCTGCAGACGCACTCTCGATCATTCCGTGTGGTTACCCTGAGTTCACCAGTTTCCGGGAGTAAGCAGCCCCTCTTGCTTTAACAGAAGGTTACATTTTCACACGCACATTTTCTGGGCGATTGTTCACCCAGAACAAAATATAGGAAAGCTTGGCTAGGCGGTACATCGAAATTTGATTCCAAAACCCCACTGATCACATCCGGAGAGATTATGCAAACAATTGAATCACTTGGCCTATGGAATAAGCTCCCCAAGGTACGCAACAAGCTCCTGGTGCCTTCACATGCGTTAGAGGAAATTATCTCGCAAACCAGGTGCCTGTTTACAACCACAGACGCCAAAATGAACGGATATCACCAATAATCTTTTTCTCCTAAACCCCGCTGGACTGAAAATAGAAAATTCCGAAATAAACTCAGGTTTCACCGCAGGAAGTCCCCTACGTCCGTAAAGGTATTGGTGACAGCTGATTTGCCCATACAAGTACGCGGTTAGGGTACTCTTATATGCCTGATGCGCAATGCTGCATTCAAAAGGGGTGGGGAAAACATCTTGGTACTCAGCTCGATAGTAATGGTTTATGTTTTTTGTTGTTATATCGCGGACCCCCCGATCAAACAGGGGACAAATGGTCACATAGAACAGCGAAAAGAACGTCACTTTGGAAGGGGTTACTTGTGCCTTCATACTGCATGTACTAACATGTCAGTACAGCAAGTTTTGTGTGCGAATTTTGAGAGTCGAATTTGCCGCAAAGTACCTGCATGAGCACCAACTGGTTGCTAGGGCTGAAATTAGCGATTAAAAGTTTACTGATCATTCAGCGCTCTAATTACATTGGTGTATTCTCTCGGTGAAATAGTATGACTGGTTTCACAGTTACCTTGTACACAGTTGTTTTCAGATTCAAGCTTCCTTGTGCCCAACACGTCCATGATTTTTGAACGCCAAAATGGCCATTTCAGTGCTGGACGCCGACTTTTGCTGTCTTGCAACCGTCGACGAATGAGAAAATCAGTCACAGCCCTAAACAGGTGTACCGAATGTCACGCCAAACAGCCTTCATCTTCTGCGGAAAAGGCCAATGGTTGAAATGGGCTGATCACAACTTGATGGAGCACGGCGCGGGAAGCAGCGTCAAAATGAGCCTTGTGTTTTCACGGCTATCGAGAGAAGCTATTTTTGTTTGCAAGAACGATGTGTGGCTTGACTCTTTCGGAAGCAGTAATGGTAGCGGCGGGCGAGATAACTGGCTTTTCTTTGGAACCAAAGCAACCGACCAGTGGCTGTGAGACATCTGAACAATGGGGGTATGAGAAAGATTCCAAGGCCAAAATGCGATCATACAATGTTGAACTACTGGCTGGATCAATGTGGTAACCGAGACACTACAGACTGGCTACACCAAACGTATGCTGCAGGTGGAAAGACGTTGAAAAACCGCCCTGAGTTTGTCTTTAGGCTCATCTGGGGAGATGCCGGTAATTGAATGCCGTCTATATAAGCATAGACAAAAGGCAAGACACGCAAAACTTCGTCCATGAAACGTTGAAATATTTGTTCAAAGATGAAAGACGCGGGTGAATTCGAAAATACCAGAAGGTACTGTAACAGCTGTTTTGGAGATGTTATCTGGGGCTACGGGGACACGGTAGTACGCACATACTGGTTGAAGTTTAGAGAAAATATTTGTGTGGCATAGGGTACATGCGAAATCGTGAATATGTGGGATGTGGTGCCTGATAGGGATAGTGGTGTTATTGAGAGAACGGTAATCTCCACAACGTCTCCAATCACCTTTGGATTTTTTGGGTACCATATGCTGAAGCGATGACCAGTGACTCGACGAAGTGCGGATGATCCCGTGTGTGAGAATGTGTTCAAACTTGTACTTTGCGTTCCGGAGCTTATCTGGATGGATTCAACGTGGATTGGTATAGAGAGGTGGACTTTTCTATGGGTGTGTGTAACGACGGAATACGCGACTGGTCGATTGTAGTGACATGGATGAGTGAGGTTAGAAACATCCCTAGGGATGTAAGCAAAAACAGGAATCAGGTCTGATACCCTTGGATGAAGTTGGGGCACTAATTCCGTTGACGAAGAAGGAAAGTAGCGTGTCCAAGAGATGCTTGTGTCGCATATCGGCGGATAGACAATAGTGGGTTAGAAAGTTCACGCCAAGGCTGGGTGTTTAGACGTCGGCCAAATAGAAGATCCACTTGAACGCACGTCGCATTCCGAGGTCAATGGTGGGGGCACCTTTACCGTATGTAGCAATGGGAGTACTGTTAGCGGTTGCTAATGAACGAGAAGCATATTCTTATGAAGTAACACGCTAAGTTCAGCAACCGTATCTACAGGGAAACGTGGACCACTCGAGCGATCGGTAATATGGGCTATATGACTACCACGAGGAGAAACACAGACAATCTTTGCCGTTACTGACTGGCTGTTGGAAAGTGGCTTGAAGAAACACGGCAGTTAGCGTTTGCGTGCTTTGGGAACGAAAGTTTGGTGATAACAGCACCAAGAGGAAGGGGAACGAGACAACGATTGAGATCGTGAACGTGGTCGATGCTTGTCGATCCCGAGCCGCTGTAGACGAGCAAATCTAGTTCATAGTCGTGAAATGACCAAGCTAGTGGATCGGGAACAATGGACCTGGCGGGTGGAGGGTGGGAGACAGAGCTAACAGCACGACTTGGATAACCCTCGTGAATTTTGTCTGCCATTTGAGCTAGCTCCTGCAAGTTTTGGTCACCAACGAAAGCACTGATGACGCGGGACAAGGAAGGTGGGAGTTTATCGAGCCATACTTGTGCCATAATTTTTACCGCTATATTACGGCCGCAGATGAGATTGCGCAAGACGATTGCCACGGCGGTTTCTTTTCAAGTTCGATGGTGCCGAATAAATCCCTCGGCATCTTATTTTCAGATCATTCTGTCCTACTAATGACAGCCACCCAAAGATCGTCATGGGGATCTTCGTTGAGGGCAGCTTCCAATAGATCTTTTACTTCCGTTGTCGCATCAATACGAAGATCTTGGACGGTAAAAGAAAAGAGGGTGGCCCGGAGAGTGACACGTCGGGTATTGAAAACAGCCTCGACTCGGTGAAACCACACTTTTGGAATGCGGGGATTATAGTCCGGTAAACGGACGCTGGTAGACCTTGATTTGATCCGATGAATCGAAGTGTGCATCCATAATGGCTGGGAAGAAATTACGAAGGAAAGTATTAAACATTTCCAGATATACTCGAGCTGGGCAAATTTGTAGTGGTCGGGTTACTGAAAAAGCTACTTAACCTGTAGTGTGTGGCAAATAAATAAAAATAATAACGTCAGATCGAGTATACAATAATAAAGAGGTCAGATGGATTAGACTCACTAAGAATTATTCTCTTTAGAATGACTCGTCGTTCGCCCGGGTCAGTGACGGAATGTAATCCAATCATGGTTGTCCAGGGGTATTTTTTTGAACAGTTCTCACGTGGGATAAACTCCGAAAATAGTCTGATATGTTTTGATGCCAGGGTTGGCACACGGGACTTGCGAATGATCGCTGTAAGCGTGAGCAAAATTAGAAGGGAAACTCGAAGCACGAGAACACGTTTGTATTAAAAAAAATGCGCGTTTTTTGTAGTTTGTACGTAGTCAAACAAAGAACGCCTATGCAACTGATGAAATACGTAATGTTATGATGAAATGAAAATAAAAGAACAAAACACCAACAAGTTGAGAATAAGCATTATTTTCACCACATGGTCAACCTCAAAAGACGCATGAGAAAGTGTGTGAGAATCGCCCATTTCCTAGATTCGAATGACGAAGCTCCCTAGGCGTGCAATATCAAATTCGTGATTTGCTTTGTTTTACGATAACCTGTGAGGTGTTCTGTTTGTAAGCACTATATCGGCCACCTTTTTTGGAAGTTCCCCCAACTCTAGTTTCAGGACCATTTGTTGCCTGGGAGAAAGTGGCTATTTTAGTGCAGTTATCACATGTAGACAGATCAAACGTTTCGATAATGATAAGGCCGGAATGGATCTCACCGCGGGGGGGGGAATCGCTCGAGGGGACGGAATAACGAATGTTGAGTGACGGAGGGCCCAGCGTAATCTTTTGGCAACAATGTTGTACACGTACATCAATCCAATCTAAATAACTGAGAGGTGCAGGGGCACTGATACACTGCATGGACGTTAGGAGGATGGAACTGACCAAAATATCTTGCAATGGGAACGGATTCGAAGCCTCAGGGAAAGAAGGTAAAATTCAGAAATAGTAACCCATGAATCAGTAAGATCCGCTGTTTTCATACTATTGTTCCCTTGCCCGCGTCTCCGCACACTTTTTATATCAATCCGGAGACGCGACGTTTGATTAAACGAGTCTGGGAACTACGACGTATACTCCCACTATACATACCGCGGCTTTGCTAAATCAGTTGAGCCACCTGACGCACTAAAATCAACAAGTCACTGAGTTGCAAAGCTCCAGGATTTTCCGGTAGATGAGTAGCCATTGCGCTTATGAAACAAAATAAGCATAAGATCAAACCCACACATTTACTGGGAAACAAGTTTCATCATTTCTTTGCGATGGTTTTCTAGTAGCAATTATTCCTTAGTACAAATTTTACACGCACTTTTTTGTGAGTCCTCGCCCTGAAAAGCCTACAGCCCTGCAGTTGGTATATGAAGTACAGCACAAGCGCATTTCCGCTTGTAACTTTCAGGTGAAGGTGAGACGCAGAATGACAAGAACAAAACCGATCCGAGAAGCTTAGTCGAAACCTCTACCTTGCGAATCAATCCGTGTATTGTACGGTGGAACTGAATTATCGAAAGCTACGACGCGTGCCTGATGGACCAAGGCAGGCAAGCAAGTGAGTTCAGAGTACCAGTCAAAACTTCTGAGCCTCCATCTAGACGTCCCGGGGTCTCAGTGATGCTGGGAAATTATTTCACGAGGCTTTTCAGTCAGATGTATGATTGCTTCAGTGGACAATGAAATTTGGCGAGCCGCAAAAGTATGAAGATAGACCGGAAAGGTTTTTGGTTTGCGCAATTAGGCAACAAAATGCAACATCTTGACGCGAAAATTGTTATTTTACCTCCTAAATGTTTTCCAGCTAAGAGCATTGTGCGGCTGATGAGCCCCGAATCGTAGCCAATCAGAGCTTCAAGTCTCCTTTTCCCGCTGTCACGCCATTCGCCGATTGCGCAGATGTCCTGTGCGAATGGACCCTTTTGTTTACATACGAGAGCAAGTCCGCCAGAAGTTGCTCAAAGCGAACCTGTGCTCTAAACACGTCAAAGACGCATCTTCCTTCATCCTTACTCTGGGCGAGCATGCTGAAAATATTGGGAAATTGTGGCTGGAACTATTTCAAGCATGTGAGTTAACTAACCTTTCCATGCTATGAAACTTATTTGATTCGAAACTTTCACTCATTCTTCTGAAACTCTAACCCATTGGTGCTTATGTATCGTGTTGTTCCCCAGAAACTGCTGAGTCATAAGCCAGCCATGGTATTCGTACCTAAAGTATTCTAGGAGCAATTTTCCGATGGATCACAGGATTTCTTTCACACAGAGTGAGACTTGGTACAACTCGCTCCCTGTCCCTTAAAGTGTGAGTCCACCGATGTTCTGTTGCCAGGTCGTTATCATTTCTAATGTGCTGCTGGGCGTTATGACGGGTCCGAAAAATCTATTCACCGACGAATACAAATGCTAGAACTCCGACGCCAGCCAACTCCAAATGGAATGGAACACTAGACGCTAAACTAGCATCTTCATTGTACTCACAGACTATACGTGAAGTTGCCGCTATTTGGAGCGTGTAAAATTATGTTCATGATGTTGGACACTATCTACGGGGATACCAGAAGGCATCTGGATGTATAATTTTCTTTCACTATCTAATGCCTCACTCCATCATGAGAAAATTTCGTGACCAGACGCTCTGCCTATCTTAAAATATATCACGTTAAAATTTCTGAAGTGCGCCAACCTGGTAGTGCATATTGGACTGCGGAATGGCCACTATTGTGTTGAAGGTTCTCAACGCACAAATGCGAAACTGGTTACTAGACTTCTGTCTATTGACTGCGGAACACCCCTAGAAGTGCTTGATCCCTACCCGTTTGACACAAACGCTTGCATAAGAGCAGCGTACCCAGTCTGCAGGTGTTTGTCTGATGTTGGCGCAACGCCACATGTACAAATGACCCACAATATTGGTGTTCCTTGACTTCGAGGGTTCGTTCGATTCTGTCACTGTCGTTAACTACACTTGCTCAACTTGGTATGCCCGAGAAGCTTGTGACCATAATACGAGTTCTATACTCATAGTTCTGTCAGTGAGAGTGGTGAGCTCTCCAAAAGCTGGTGTCTGACAAAGATATTCACTCTCCATTCTTGTTCAAAGTCGTCATTGATAAAACATTCAGACCGAGGCTGGAAAGTCCTGAAAACCCCGGTATTCAAATTGTTGCTAGTGAGAACTTTGTGGATCTGGAGTACGCAGATGATATCGCCCTCAGCACTGAAGACCAGGCCGAAGCACAAACCTTGTGGAATAGATTGACCTCCGTCATACCATCTTTTGGCATGCGCCTAGTATCTTCAATTTGCGAAGTTATGCTTCAAAAAATGCTGATTCCGAGCATACCACATATCACCTCACTCGAGGTTATAGATGATTTTACATATTTCGTTAGTTGTATTAGCCTTGATGGAAATGCGTCTCGTGCGGTCAGTGTAAGAATCTCAAAGCCTCGATTCGTGTTTTCTAACTTGCGTAACTTGCTGGGTTAAAAAGTTATATCACTCTGTCTTAAAGGTCGCGTGTACCAGGCTACAATGCTGTTGTATGGTTGCGAGACGTGGCCCCTGCGGATAGATGATGTGAAGCGTCTTCAGGTTTTTTGCCACCGATGCCTCAGAAACGTTGCTGGGTTTGGATGGCATCAACGGATTAGTAACGAGGTGATTTGAAAATTAACATTTGGTTGTACAGCTGGTACTTTAATCGCGGGAAGCACCCAGCACCATGAACTGTGGTGGCTTGATCATGTGATACGCATATTGAAACAGTCTATCGAGACGAGTGCTGTTGTCCATGCCTGCTGCATAATGACGTAAACTGCGAGGTGGACAACTCATGGCTTGGCAGAAGGGATCACGAAGAGATTGGGTGTTGTTGGTCTTTACGCCTTCCAGGATGGGGTCCCCGTGACCCCGCCTGTGCTTGGCTGGAGACGTTGCAAGAAATGGCGGCAAATCGATATCAGTGGCGTTCGTGCTGTCAGTTTCTTTCCAGATTGATTGGGCGGTTGGAGGTGTAGGCACTTCAGAATGCTTGACATAAGTTAGTACTAGGTCCCCTCCCTCACCCACTCTTTTTCTCTTATTTTCACTATAGGGCTTTCAATATATATATATATATAATGTATATATATAACTAGGAGAACATTATGGTGTATCATCAGCGCCAACACTGATGTTGCTGTCTTTGATGGTGACGGTGATGCGATTTCTGGGTCCCATCCCTGATCAATTCCTTTTCTCCCCTTTTCACTCTAAGGCTTTGAATATAATTAGATGAGCTCTATGGTTGTATGGCAGTGAGGCATCAGTGTGAACACTGATATTGCTACCTCTGATGGTGATCGATGTTGAGGAGTTAAATCCTCAGTAATGGTCTGTAGCCTTTTTCGGCGTGCGAAAATCATCAGAACCGTAGGTCAGCTCGTCAGGGACGAGGCTTTTTGTCAGATTTCATTAGTAGGGAGGGGAGGGGGGTAAGTAGTTCCAGTAGGTATGTATTCAATGATAGATACACCGAAACGAGGCCTGGGTTCGTGCCATTTATCCGCGTCTGCCTTCCTGTTACCTAAAAAGTAGCGGACCACAATGAGTGCGGAGGTACCTCTGAGGTGCTTCGAGACTCAATCTGGCAATCCGGAAATTAACATACTGCAAGGACGACACATGCCGAATGAAAGTCATGTCTTTTAGTGCTCTCCGTCGTGCACAGTGGGTGGCCACTAGGTCTCTACTTTGAAAAATGAGTCGCACTGACATCACCCAAGCCTTCTGTAATCGCTTTTATACTTCCCTGGAAGGTCGCAGCTTGACCGGCTTCCTTCGGGTGGCATGGCAGCTAGGCACTGAAAGATGTGATAGCTAAAAGACTATTACTATTATGCTTGCATCAATATAAATCACATACAGAGAACACCACTCGTTTCCGTAGACATCAATAGCCATAACGTTCTTCCGTTCAGGACAAGACTGGCTGTTGTTGCCAAATTTGATGTCGAGCTTCCTAATTTCTCATAGAGTCCTTGCCTTCACAACTACCTCCACCAAATTACATGCATTGACGTCTGCCCTGGAAGGAGCTTGACCGGCTTCCTTCGGGTGGCATGGCAGCTAGGCACTGAAAGATGTGATAGCTAAAAGACTATTACTATTATGCTTGCATCAATATAAATCACATACAGAGAACACCACTCGTTTCCGTAGACATCAATAGCCATAACGTTCTTCCGTTCAGGACAAGACTGGCTGTTGTTGCCAAATTTGATGTCGAGCTTCCTAATTTCTCATAGAGTCCTTGCCTTCACAACTACCTCCACCAAATTACATGCATTGACGTCTGTTCCATAGGACCTCAGCTTTCAGTGTAGCAGTAGTCGATTCACAGGTCTTATCAAAGTCCACATAGTCACTACTTTCTTTCTCCCTAAAGCCGTTCGACTTGGGTTTTTCGTAAAGTGCCAGGATGAGGTATGACCTTATTTAGTTAGTTGAGGTTCCAAAGAGCTGGTAGTCAATAATTTGCCCACAAAGTATTCGTTCTATCACTCTAGATGACGCATTTGTGAGGCTGACAGATCTATATCTGTTTATTGTTCGCCATGGAAGTGGATCACGATAACTTTCCCCTGTTCACTCCGGATAGTTAGGTCTTCCCTGGAAACGTACCTGCCTTCTGAGTTGGCGACATATTAATGCTAAGTGAACCCTTCAAGTCCGGCAGTGAAGTGGCCCCAAAGTTTTGGTCTGGCAGTTCATTCCGTGCTTTCACGACACGCGGCTAAATACCACTAGTGTTTTCGACTTCCAGTGTGAATCGGCGTCCGTGAGTGTTTATTGTGGCGTTCAGCTTAAAGTCGTCTCATTTTTGGACAAAATCCTTGTTGGCTAGTTTTGTGCTTCAGGGCTAGGTCTCCGCGGACACCACAGTAAGCCAGAGAAAATAACCCTGAAGGAGCGTCTCTGAAAAGCAAACAGTGTCAAATTGGTAATCAAAGAGACTTCGCATATTGAGACTGACTTCTCACGTTAAGCAGAATACAGACATTCTAAATGCATATATGTAGTGTGCTTCTGGTTTAGAGGAAAAGTGGATGAAGCCCAACTTATCAGTCTAACGGCCGGGTCAGCGTCGGGGGCGTTTTCTACTGGAAATCGCATGAACGGAAACAACCGTGGTGTAACATGAAAATTTGTGAATGAGCCCTATCTCCAGAGCCGCACGGTGCTGTCTAATATATGCACAACGGAGTGCTGGTTACAAGGCAACACGGAGGATGTACAAAGCGGAATCGTTCAGAAAATCGCTTGATCTTGAGTCGAACTCGTTAGCTCACTCCTTTGGGTCCAGCGTTCGTTCGGGTTTGCTTCCGTGGCCCTTGTGATGCACGGAGTGTCAGGATCTTGTAGTCAGTTCGGGGGGCAGCTCGGTTGTACTAAATACTGACCAAGAGTCCGTGTTCCTTCGTGGCATATGATACCTCTTTGTAGCGTGGTTTTGCTCCTCACGTTGCAGTACTGTCACTGAAGAGATCTATGTGATTTCTAGGAGATCCGGTCAACAGCCGGAAATCCACGATGCCCTGGTGGCATATCCCCCAGAGCCCCGTTAGCCCATGTGAAATTGAAATCACCTCGTCGTGGCACGGCTAGGAGAAGGCAGATCTATCGACAGAACCGGGTGCGTCTCTGGGTCAGTTTATGTGCGGCGTGTACTGTTGCGCTGCCTGAAGTCCTGTCGACGAACAACAATGCAGCTTACTGGTCACGTCATCAGGTACCATTGGCAAGGCTAGAGACACAGCAATAAATGAAGTCTAGCTGCTGCCGGTGGCTTTTGTGCTGTCAGCTTATTTGCAGTTAATTCTCAAAAATAAGGCGGCGTGGTGGCGATAATGGCAATTTGGAAGAAGGGCAGAAAAATGTAAATCTCTCCGCTATCTTCGGCCCACCCTGAATCGACCACCAGCATGGGCTCCCTCCGGACTTAGTCGGCTGTCCTTGCTGAAATCCCTATATCTTTTACCCTGACCTAAGCGGCTGTGACGAGTCTCTACAGAGAACCATAT